AAAGTGCTTTGTGACTAAATGAAGCATGGCTTTCTGGCCCAAACCAGTTTCAGAGTCTTCTATCCTGGAGAGTAATTCAATTATCTCCCAGGATAGACACAAGACTCCATTAAGCACATGGTTGCAAAAGACACAAAACACTTTAAAATACATAAAGTCACATTTTACACATAACACACAGACATTTCACATATCCCCCCCAGATAGCTCAGGTCTGAGCGCACATTATTAAGTGAATGGCGCTCAGACCACACAAATACAGTTTAATCACCATGGAGCCAAAGTCTTTCCAGTCAGTTTCATACGAATGGGCTCCATGGGATTCCTATCTGGGGTATAACACATTCAACCAAAACTACCAAACCCCAGGCAGAAAAGCACGAATGAAGCTTTTCTGCAGGTAAAAAAGATGTCTTTTAACAGGGGACCATAGTCCAAAGGCAGCAGGCGAGCAACCAGGCTTCTCCAATGCAATGTGACGAGATTGGTCTCGTCACATCGAGAAACTAGTTCCACATGATTTAAACAAGTTACAGACTAAACAATATGATACACAAAATCTAACAAATAAAGAAAAGAAAGCACTTAAAGAGCTAAAAGATGACAATGACATTGTGATAAAACCTGCCGATAAAGGAGGTGGTCTAGTCATTTTATCCAGTGCCATGTATATAGAAGAAGCGCACAGACAATTAAATGATCCTCATGTTTACGAGAAACTTTCATCAGACCCAACAAAGACCATTCAGAACCTTGTCTTAACCTTTCTTAAACAAAGGTGTATCTCAAGCTATTCTAACCAAACAAGAGTATAATTTTTTAAATAAAAAAATGTTTTTCCAAAAATCCCAGTAATATATTTCCTGCCAAAAATACACAAAAATGCTACTAATCCCCCAGGCAGACCAATAGTGTCAGGGATAGGTTCGCTTTTATGCAACCTATCCCAATATATAGACACTCTTTTACAACCTGTCGTTAAAAAAAAATGAAATCTTACCTTCGAGACTCTATGTCTCTTTTAAACTTTTTAAACGATTTTAAATGGGACCCCAATTTTATTTTGGTTACTTGTGACGTCCAATCACTCTACACAATTATACCCCACAAAATTGGATGTGAAGCCATTAAAAATACTTTAACAAAAGAAGATAGACTTCCAGAAGAACAAATTTATTTTATCTTAGAGTGTATTAATATTATTTTAAAAAATAATTATTTTTGGTTTTTAGATTCTTTTTACCTCCAAAGAAGAGGAACTGCTATGGGTACCAGGTTTGCCCCTAGCTACTCCAATCGGTTTATGGCAGATTGGGAATCTACAGCCATCTACAACAGAGATAACCTAAGGGCAAACCTGGTCTCATATTTTAGATATATGGATGATCTCTTTTTTATCTGGAATGGATCGGAAGACAATCTTATTTCTTTTTTTAATGTTCTTAATACTAATAACAGGGGTATAATTTTAACCCATGAATTTAGGAGAGAACAAATACATTTCCTAGATCTCAATATATTTATTAAAAACGGTAAAATCAATACAAAAACCTTTTTTTAAAAAGTCTGTGTTAATACAGTAATCGATAAGAATAGTTGCCACTACAAACCGTGGCTTGACAGCGCCCCGAAATTACGTAGAAATTGCACAGAACTAGAAAATTTTGAAGAACAAGCTAATGCCCTCAAAAATAAATTCATGGAGAAAAATTACCCAGAAAAAGACTTACTTGAAAATATCAATGAGATAAAAAATAAAAACAGAGATGAGCTTTTAAAGTACAAACCTAAAAGCAAAAACGATTCTATATTTCTTCCTATTACCTTTAATTATAACAACAAAAGTAAAGAAATAAAAAAGATTATCCAAAAACACTGGCATATCTTAGAACACGATGAAAAACTTTTTAAGATTATTCCAGAAAAGCCGAGCATAATTTTTAGAGGGTCTCCTAACTTTAAATCTATTCTAACCACTAATTTCACCAAAGAAACAAAATCAAGTAATCTTGTATCCTTTTTCCCCCAATCTCTAGGCTTTTATAAATGCAAAAACTGTATTCTGTGCAAAACGGCTGATCCTACAATGCCACCAAAAATAATAGAATTTATCTCAAATAAAACTAAAACCATTTTTAAAATAAAAGAATTTATAACATGTAATACCAAAAATGTCATCTACTTATTGGAATGCCTGTGTGGCTTCCAATATGTTGGGATGACCACTAGATGTTTAAAAATCAGATTAGGTGAGCATTGTAGGAACATAAAAAATGGATATTTAAATCACTCTCTATCAAAACATTTTTAAATTCACAATAAAGATCCTAAAATGCTAAAATATATGGGCATAAAAAAATGTTCTTTACCCTGGAGAGGAGGAGACATAAAAAATATCTTAGGTAAAACTGAGATGGAATGGGTCTATAAGTTACAGACCCTAACACCCAATGGACTTAATGCAGATTTTGATCTGCATAATTTTTTATGAAAAGTTTATGTTTTAATAAAATCCCCTTTTTATAATTTTTTTATTTTATTTAATTTTGTGTAATCATATTACCACTATTTATAAATTATACTCCATCTGTAAATCTTTAATCTTATTGCTATGTGCTTTTTATTATATTATTACATTGTAATACTTTTATTATCATTTTATGGCATCTCTTTGGATTACATATCCATAAGTCTAAAATCCTTATGTATATATCTGTGTGGCTGCTTATGCCTTATAATATGCTTTTATTTTCTTGTTATGTTTCTTTTAAAGCATTCATTTTGATCCTGGGTATGTATTTTACATTAGGAGCGCTCAGTGACCGGCAGGACTTCATTTCCCATAGAGCATTGTGTTTCCATGCCGGCCACTGAGCCCTCCGTTCATGCTAGTAAGTGATCCGCCCATTAGACGACCCGCGCATGCGTGCCGCGTCCCGATTCCGTGATCAGGACCAACTTTAATTAAATCTCTTTTAAAGCTTCGTTTTAACAAAATTTAAATCCCCCAAGCCTAATTAGGCTTATACTAATGCACCTATATGGTTTTTATGTTATTTTGAAATGTATTTTATGTTCGGTTTTAATACTTGTTTGTGATTGGTGCACCAAAATTTTGGCGCCATATTCAACCTCTGTATGTACTTATAAATTCAGTTCCTTGCCAGGTGTACTGTTCTTTTACCATTTTGAAAAAAAAAACCTTAAAGGTGAAACGCGTAAATGGTTTTAATAAGTGTATTTTAATCAATAAAAGTTATTTTTGGTTACCTTTTATACTAGGACCAATCCTATACTTATTTTTATTGTATTTTATACACTTTTACTACCCCTGGCATTTTTACATTTTTATATCACACCATTTTATAGTTTTTATTTTTTATCCTTCTATTTTTAATTTTAATTTAAAGTGTATCCCGTCCAAAGAAATCCTTAGGTGGGGATAATTCCACCAGCCCTGTGGCAATAGAGCAGTATCCGTCTGCTCTATTTTTGTAATTATAACTTATTTTAAAATATTACTTTATTGTTCACACTGAGAGCACTATTTGTTGTTTTATATCTATCCCGTGGATACCTACTATCCAAAATCGGAGAGGCGGACCTATCTCCCCAGTATCAAAGAACAACGCACATCTGAGTAGGTCATAGCCTACACCAAAGGAATTCCAAATTGGACAGACGGACCAACCATCTAAGTACATCCGATAGTGGGGATTAAACCACTAAGTGCCTCTTCTCCTAGTGCTGGTTCAAGCTCCAACAAATGTGAGTGAAATATCTTTTTCTTGAATATATACCACATCTGGACATACAATATTTCACCATTGGCAGCTTTTTCTTCGGTTTTTTATCTTCACATATATGGACTATCTACCATACGGACGGAGCAACACTTGAGGATTATTATCGTATTACCACATATCAGTGAGACTGTTTCAACTTATAATTTCAATTTTCATATCTGGATGAACTTTGTGTATTGATTTTATTATCATTGCTGATTTTATTTATATTTAACCAATATAAAAATATAAATTTTTTATCTTTTTTATCAATTGTCCAAGCGCAGCCCTTAACCCCCTTTTCTTGTATTTTCCTGTTTTTCAAAGGGTTTCTTGAGGGATTCCCCTTTTAGGGTTGCTGCTTATTTGAGTTAGCTCAGACTCTTCCCCCCTTTCTGCTATACACTAATACCTGGCAGTGTCTTTTTTTTTTATATCTCCTGAAACAAGTACCTTTGCTTCGTAGTTAAAATCGCACCTGGGGCCAGCAGTAGAGTGAAAGACACCATTGCAATAATGCTAAGGCGTTTTGTGCCTCATGAGCACTTCATAACACCCTGCACTGTGCTATCTTGCTGCAGAGGTACATGAAGATGGGAACAGTTAGAGGAGAAATTTGTAAAGAAAAAATAAGACTAAGAACGAGGTCTCAAAAATAGAAAGAAAAGATTTATGGTAACAAAAGAAAAAATAAAAGGCAGCTCAGGAGAATTTCAATTCTCCCTAATCACTTAAAGGACCACTATAGTGCCAGGAAAACATACTTGTTTTCCTGGCACTATAGTGCCCTGAGGGTGCCCCCACCCTCAGGGTCCCATTCCCGCCGGGCTGGATGGCGAGGAAAGGGTTAAATCTCACCTTTTTTCCAGCGCCGGGCAGGGAGCTCTCCTCCTCCTCTGCGCCTCCTCTCCTCCTCTTCGGCTGAATGCACATGAGCGGCAGGAGCTGCGCGCGCATTCAGCCAGTTGGATAGGAAAGCATTCATAATGCTTTCCTATGGACGCTGGCGTCTTCTCACTGTGATTTTCACAGTGAGAAGCATGCAAACGCCTCTAGCGT